ATTATTATTATTATTATCATCATTATTATTATTATTATCATTATTATTATTATTATTATCATTATTATTATTATTTCTTATTTTTTTACTGAACGAGTGTACATGTTTAGCATGCATTTTTTTAAATATATGGAATTAATAAGTAATGGGGGTCTCCTATCTTTTTTGAAAAGATATGCGTTTGAAGAAGGTTTCTTAAGTCTTGTCCATGCACTACTAATTAACATAAAGTTGATTGTTCTTTTCTTGTTTATAGACCATAGTAACGTGCCGTCATGTTCGTAGAGGTTCCCGTTGTTGTCGCTTTACTTGTGCTTACTACCTTATATTTCCTTATCACGAGAAAACAGGATCAAAACTCCCCTCCAGGCCCCTTCAGTTACCCTCTGCTCGGAAACTTTCCGCAGTTAGGGCCTGTGCTGCACCTTTCCTTGACAGATCTTGGCAAAGATTTCAATGGTTTGTATCGACTTCATTTGATGGGCAAAAAGATCAACGTCATCAACAGAGGTAAAACTGCAAAAGACGTTTTAGTTAATGAAGGCAAAAATGTCGGAGACCGAACATCAGCATACGTCATAGACCTAATGACGAGGAATGGATGCAGCTTGATTTTTGGGAAACTTGGTCCCACATGGAAAAGCCAGAGAAAAATGGTACACTCAGCTTTGCGGTTTTATAGTGGAGGCTCGGCGGATGTCGAAAATTTGATTATTAAGGAGGCTAATGAGCTTAATGAAATTTTAAGATCAACCAAAGGCACAGCAATAGATCCAAAACTTCCATTAACTTTGTGTGTGATGAACGTCATTTGTTCGCTTGTGTATGGAAAGAGGTACGAGTTAGACGACAAGGAATTTCATCAAATCGTCACGAATACCGAAGCTCTTGCTAAGCTAGCCTCGCCGGAAAATCCACTAATACTATTGCCATGGCTACGGCATTTTCCAATCAAAACTGTTAAACGAATGAATGAAATTATCAAGGAAAGAGATCGGATCGTAAAAGAGAAAATCGATGACCACAGGCGAAGCTATAGAAGTGGGGTGACAAGGGATCTGACAGATACTATTCTAAAATGTATGGAAGACGAGAACAACAATGGCCTCCTTACAGACGATCATCTGCACATGGCAGTCAGTGATGTTTTCCTGGCTGGGTTTGAAACAACAACCACTGCGCTTCGCTGGATTTTACTTTATCTTATTCTCTACCCAGAAGTCCAAGCAAAAATCCACCAAGAGCTTGATGAAGTAGTAGGTAGTGATCAGGCCCCTTGGTTAGAGCACAAGGAGAGGTTGCCTTACCTTCAGGCAACTATCAATGAAGTCATGCGCATTAGTCCCGTCTTTCCCATCATCCGTCGTAAAGCAATCGGAGACTTCAAGATAGATGGCTATGACATTAACAAGGGATCTTTTGTTTATGTTAATTTATGGGCAATACATCATGACCCTGAAGAATGGGACAGTCCCTACGAATTCAGGCCCGAAAGGTTCCTAAAGGATCCGGAGAAGAGTCAGAATATGTTCCCTTTTGGTGCTGGCACTCGAGTCTGCATAGGGAAATCTCTTGCAAAGTCAGAATTATTTCTGATAGTTTCTCGTCTGCTACATGAGTTTGAGTTAACTCTTCCTCCAGGATCTATGCGTCCAGACCCAACTGGTCTTACAAGTACCGTCTATTGGCCAAAACCCTTTCAAGTGTGTGCCGTCAAGCGCTTTCAGAATTTTAATAATGTAGAGTTGTGCTAACAAAGCTGTACAATATAGTCCCTTATCTTTTCTTATTCGATAAATACCGCTGTGTTTTATGACTAAACCTCATTTGGACAGGTTTAGGGCGAGTACAGACGTCGAACTTCACATGAACCGAACCTAATGACATCAAAAGTAAACCGCATTATTTATTGTTTCAAGTGAAGTTCGACCTTGCTTAAGAGCGAATCCTTTGCAAAAGTCAACTGTAATGTAAAGAATGTGCAACTTGAACAATACCAACGTTTTGAAATTCCACGGGCTTTTAATGATATCCGTGAATAGCTGACTAATAAACGAGGCTAAACCTGTACAAATGAGACTGTGGTCTTCAAAAACAGAGGTATCCATCTAATTTATATTAAAAACGAAACTGGTGTATTGTTATGACAACCACCACGTGCAGCGTCACCTTAGGAATGAATAAAAAATGTCACTATTAGTTTTGAAAAAAGAAGGAAGAAAGAGGTTTTTCTCCAGTTTTTTTCTCAGATTTATCCTAAAACTTTCAAGTTACTGGGTAGCTTTGTTTTTCAAAAATGAAGCTCGCGGCCAGTAGAATTAATCGTTGAGTAATACAAGGAAATTTAGCCGAGCGTATGCTATCCGCATTGAACAGTTTTCGTATGACTGTGAAAATCTCGGTACCGTCATGTTTTGTGTAATTTTGATTGGCTGATGTTTTTCTTGCGCAATGTGATTGGTCTAGCAGAACGTTGACTGTGTCCCGGCGTGTGTTCATGCGCTATGTTCAATTCTACTGCAATGTGAGTGGTTTCGCGTACGCCTTGCCATGTGACGACATGTGCTGCGAGCTTTTCGCTGTCATACGAAAAACTAATCTAAAAAATGGCTGTATTAAGCCCACTTTACACTGGCGATTTTTGCGACGATTTTGTGGCAATTTTCGTAAATATGAAATCTTTTGTCTCATCCTTCAAAAGAGACATTCGTCTAGGAAAATCTTGGTATCCTGAAAAAA